AATCGTGAATTGTTCCAGAGGATTTGGAACAATTCGGTCAGACTCCAGCACCCCACACAGTTCTGGGCATCCGAGTGCAAGGAGGATTCAGGGGAACTGGAGCACCATCAGAGACTGGAAAGGGAGCACCCGCCACCCTCGAAGGAAGGCCTTCTCGAAGCAGGGGGGGCTTCCCTCACAAGGGCAGCATCTGCTCCCTTTCATGAAGGGACTCCAAGCCCACAGGAATCCAAAACCGCTGGGAAGCAGTGGCCAAGGTCAGCTCTCCCGGACCTGCCCCAAACCTGGGCAACCGGCTAAGCCGGCCGTCTCAACGCGCTTGGGCTCCTCTGTTGAAGGCAGATGGGAACCGGGAAAGCCCCCCTGCGCTCCTCTAACACGCTGAGCTGGCACACGCTGGCCCTAGATGCGCCTTGAGGAGGGTCTCTTCGAAACTGCTGAAGGTGGTCGGGAAGCACTGCTGGCCCCATCCCTGGAGGAGGCGGCCCCGGCTGCGCCTTCTGGCTGAGCGTGGCTCCCCAGCAGGCCCCCCACTTAGGATCCAAGCTTTCGAGCGATGTCGTGGGGGTGGGGGGGGCAAGGCCCCAGAGCCAGCCCCTCTGAAGCAGAACATGCTGCCTCTGAAGGCGCTGTCCTTCCAAATCCTTTCAGCAGGCTTTGGCATTGGGGGGGTGGTCTTCCTGCGGCCAGAGCGGTCCAGTGATTCGGTGCTGCTGCTGCTGCTGCTGCTGCTGCTGCTGCTGCTGAGGGCCTGCTGTTCTCTGAGTTACGAGGAAACCCAGCGCGTCAATGCAGACACAGCCGCCGACGCGTCATCCCTGCACGCACGAGCCAGGCTGACCGCACTCACCAACCCATTCCGGTATTCAGGCTTCCCGTCAATCATCCGCATGTTCTGGATCCTGAGGAAAGGATGCAGGAGAGGCAACAGACCTTCAGCCGGAGAGGGAGGCCAGGCTGAAGCGACCGTGTGCCCCAGGGAAGCCACCATCGCTGCCCCTGGTGCCCCCAGAAAGAGGAGCACCTAGAGAAGACCTCGATTTCCGAAAAGCATCTAGCATGGCGTTTCTCAGCCTTGGCAGCTTCGAGAAGCGGGCGCTGCAGATACAAAGCCCGCACGTCTTAGAGCTGCTGGGGTTGAGAAACACCAGCTCGGCAGGTCCCCCGCGCTCTCTCCTCCACTCCCTCCTGGCCGGCCAAGATGGCCTCTCGGCTTTTGGGAGAGGAGCCCGACCTGGTCTTGGCGATGTCCACTGGCATGGAGGCCGCTGTTGTCACCAACCCACTAATCATGCTAGCGCAGAAGTGGCAAAAGATGTTGTCTTCGAAGTACCCTGGAGGTGAGGTAAAGGAAGGGGGGGCTGTTGCCGCTGCATCGTCCAGGCCGAGCCTCTGCCCAGGATCTCTGCGCGAGAGACAAGCTGCTCAGCCACAGCAGGGCGGACAGGCAGAGGCTGAACCCCCCGCAGCTCCTCCCTCCCTCGCTGCTGCTGCAGGACCAACAGC